AAAAGAAAAGAAAAGGGAAAAAAAGCTTGAGTTAAGGTCTCTAAGACCATTCTCAGGCTTAATGGTTTACTATAAAGAATCATGGATCTTACAAAAGTAATATATTTTATTGCAGTTTATTAGAGAAAAAGGATAAAGATTGAAATCAGCAAAGAGAAAATTTCGTGGGACAAAGTTGAGGAGAAACCAGGGACAAGCTTCCAGGTGTGCTTGTCTAGTGGAGTCACATGGACACATTTACTTCTCCCTGCAATGCTTTATCAGCCTATGCAGAGTGTTGGCAACTTAGGAAACCACCTGAGCCTTGGTTTCTAGGATACTGTTTAGAAGAGTAGTCACATAGGCTTGCATTGACTACATGTTTTAGTTGAATTATTAATTTCTCTTATGAGAACATAAGATTTTTTAGAGTGAGTTTGGAATCTTAGTAAATTAGCACAGTTGTCACATACTGTTTTAGGCTGGGTTTATTGTGATAAACTACAGACAAGTCCACTCCTCTCTAGGAATTTATTTGATGCCTTTCCCTTTGGTAAATAAAGGATCAAAATTAATGAGAATTAAAATTTATGATTTTTTTACATGTCATTATGTCAATTCTCCTGTTTGAAAACAACCAGTTTGCAACTCTATTGCAATCTGAACAAATCAAATATATACTTACTAAGCATTTAGGTATATATAAAGCACTGTCCTCATGCTGGGAATTTGTATGTACTTTGCAATTGATTTAGACAAGAAATGTATCTATAAAATTAAAGAAAACATAAGATTATTTTAGATACCATGAGATAAAATACAACAGTAGGGAACCAGCAGTTAGCGTAATGGCTATGGCGCTGGACTCCCACATAGTCGACCACGGTTCGCGTCCTGGACCCGGTGACTTAAAACTCACGCCGGGTGCGTGTGCGTGCGTGCCCAAGATCCCGAGAGGAGAATGGAGGAGAAGGGATTACGGCGTGGCCATCCCTTGGGGGGTGATTTCTCGCTTTCTGTCTCTATGTCTCTCTCTGTCTGTCTGGCGAGCACACGCGCCCTATAGCAAAAACCTCTCAAAAAAAAAAGCAACAGTATATACATCATTAATAATATCTCATTTTTATTTTGTGTTTGGTAAACAGTATATATTATTGCAGATATTTTAACAAACCTACATATTAGATTTAATCATCCTCATTTTGTATGTAGACCCTTACACTCAGTAAACTCAAGTATCATTCTGGGACATAAAGATAATACATACCAGAATTTGGAGTTTCTTACTATTCTGTAAAAAACCCAGGTCCTATGTCCCAGTGTATTTAAAAATATTTGTGGTGAAAAAATGCAGATCCTATTGTGGATCAATACTTTCATAAGCCACAATAAAGTGAATTACTACAAAAATTTAAAATTTTAATTACATAAAAACACAAACATGAATGTTAAGATAACCAAGCATGTACTATGGAAAAGGTGAGGTACTTGGCAGAAGAGATTTCATGTTTGCTATATGGATCCAGCTTTTTACATAATCATTTTGTGTTGATGAATAAATTCTTCATGTGATAAATAAAATGATTCCCAGTTTAAAGTTGATCATCTTATTTCTAGCAAAAACATACATATTAACATTTTCTCTAATATTACTTTAACATACTATAAATATTGTGCATCATTGCTCTCTATTTCAATTCTTTTAACCATATTATTGTCATATAACTCATGTAAGAATGTGGTGAACCGAATTCCATTTTCTAGATAAAATAAGTAGTAGATATTCATAAGAGATTTTGTGCAAAAAAATTTGCAAACCCCGTAAAGTTCAATCATTGACTCTAAAGAGACTCTGAACTAAAGAATACCTGGTTTAAAACTTCTCTATCTGAATATCATTGTCATTTATTGAATTCTTTAGATAAGTTTTCCCTCAAATACCCTAATTTGCCATTCCATTTAATTTTTGCAGTTTATTTATTTATTCCTTGAGAGAGAGGGACAAAAAGAGAGGGAGAAAGAAAGAGAGGTAGCACTCTCAATAGGGTTCTGATACTGTGATCCACCCTCAGCCTTAGCTCCAGCCTGTCCTTGATCATAGGCACACGTATGTGCAGCATACGTAGGTAGGTCCTGGATGGAGACCTAGAGTCTTCTTGTGGGGATTAGCTTTGCAGAGTGTCATGTTTTACCTCTATGACACTGTGGCCCCTGCTTCATTCCATTTACATTTTATTTTATTTTATTTCATTTTATTTTATCTTATCTTATTCCATTTAAATTGTGTGCATGTGCACATGCTTGTGCGTGTATTTTTTTATATTGTCATTGGCAGGGGACAGTGAGAAAGATGCTGCAATTGAATTTATCATCACTTCTAACACTGAATGACACTAAATAGCCATTGTCAGTGTGATAAGACCATAAAAGGAATAGTTGGTCAAAACTAATATTCTCTCTAGTAAAATTTTGCTACATTTGTCAGTTTATTAGGCTATTTTCTTTTTGCTAAACATCTAATAAGATATAGTAAGAACACAAACATTCGTGCGTTGAAAACATTTATTGCAAATCTTCTAAATGTTAGTCACTAGGCAGTAATCAAGTCATAAAACATGTTTTGATGATGCTTACATATTAATTAAATGATGAACAGAAGGAATAAATATTCTGCCTTGGCTATTAGGAGGTGATATGTTTCTATGAGTGAAATTGGACAGAAACAGTGAGGCAAGGTTTGTCAGGGAAAGGGAGCAGTTGCACTTTCAAGGCAATTGTTCTGACCTGAAAGGGTGATGGGAAGAGAAGCTGGCAAGTGTAAATGCCCGATGGTGAGAGTCATAAGTTGAAGAGTATTCAGATTGACTAGCATGGAGGAGTGAGGGTGAGAGCAGCATAAGACAGACTCAGAAAGAAAAAAAAGTGGAAAGGGTAGAGACCATTGTGAGAAATTTTACTTGAGTGAAAAATAGAATGCATGATTTTCAATAAAAGAGTAGAGTGTTTCCACTTCTTTTTTTTCCCTTTATTTTATTTTCTTATATTGTTTTTTACATTCAATCATTGTATATATGTATAGCACAAAAAATGAATATTCCTATCATGAATGTACTTTGTGTTAGTCCATGCAGAGATATTACTGTACACATTATCAACAAATAATTTTACATTTTTGTGTCTATTACAGGTTTTGTTTTGTTTTGTTTTCTCCCTTGATTCCCTTCCTCCCACTATTCCTATTTCCCACTCTCCTCTCACACTGTCTCCAGTATCCACAGTGACTCTACTTGCTTTAATCCCTTCCGATCCCTATAATAAAGTACAGGTAATTGGTATATATTAAGTAGGGACATACAATGCCTCTCTTTCATAGTTTGGCTTGCATTGCTTAGCATTAAGGCTCAAAAGGTACATCCTACAGGGTGTTAAGTATTAAGATGAATATGGAGGCTATTACATTAATAAAGAAGAGATGATAATGACTCATTTTAAGATGAAGGCAGGGAGGGTAGTAACGAATCATCAGATTTTGCATTCACTTTGAAGGCAGAACCAAGAGATTTCCTGAAACATTAGATGTGGGATATGAGAAAAACCAATGGATCAAGTATGATTCCCATATTTTTTTAATTGTCAGAGCATGTGTGCACTCACCAAAGAAAGAAAGAAAAGAAAGTACTCCTCAATTGAGTGTGGCCATAGTATAATTCTTTTTCCTCATTTTCTCTATCCTATCAGGATTTGGGATGGATTCACATGTGCTGGATGGTTTTCAAGTCACCCATGCCAGCATTCCAACCTTGGTAGGCTAATGGGATCCAGCCCTCTATCCATAGTTCTTACTGCTACTCAATGGGCCAGCCCACATTTGAGATTTCTTTTTTTTAAAAGAATTATTTATTTATTTAATTCTATTTGTTATTGTTATTTTTTGATTTGACCACCAGAGAGAGAGAGAGAAAGGGAAAGCGAGAAAGCAAGCTTCCAGGTCCGGGACTTGAACCATGGTCAGCCATGTGGGAATCCAGCGCCCTTATCCATCACACAGCCTGCTGGCTCCTGAGATTTCTTCTTGACATAGTCATCTTGAAGGATAACGTTCTCATCAAAGTGAACTAGAAAAAGCAGGTTTAAAGGAAAAGTCAGGAGTTCAGTTTTAAAGTTAAGCAGAAAAGTCTGTATCAGAACTGCCAGAAAGAAAAATCTAAAACTAGTTCAATTTAACAGGTTTATTGAGCAAAAGACACATTTTAGAAAAGGTATTTCTGACTAAACTTGATTTGGAAAGATTCACCCCATCACATGTGCAAATACTTATAGACAGAAAAAAGAAACTGACATACAAACTAAGAAAGTAATTCAAAACCACCCTGATTGTGTACAGCTAGCATTTGCCTTATATAGATGTGATTTGCTCAGTTGGCAATCTGTGAATGGTATCTCAGCTGTTGATGGGTTGAGGCCAGTTTCATGGTTACTAGAGTTACTCACAGATTAAGTTACAATTTACAAATTCCTTGCACAGCAAGCTAGGTTGCAGTTCAGTATTTACAGAGAATGTTTTAGGTCTAACTTATCACCCAAGTATGGAAGACTCCTTAGGCTAATATTGTTTAGTTTAACAGGATATAAGTTTGACTATCAACAGCAGATAGAAGAAATAGAAAACCATAGGATTAAAGAATACTACAAATAATGCAAGTATAGGGAGAATTAAGCTCATGAGTACATAGAATTATTTTTTTACACAGGAGTCATGAAAATGTCTCTTTCTAATATATTTTGAAAATGTATTACAACCTATGTAATTCAATATTAACTAAGTGGTTATATATAAAACATAAACTTTTTCTTCCATTATTCTTGTGTATGCTTTCAGATAGCCATTGTCAAAAGATTACACTTTGTAAAGTAAGACAATGTATTTTAAAATGTTTTGAATCAAAACTAATGTTTTTGAGAAATTAAAGTTTCTTCTAAAATTAAAATTATTTTATCCTATTTCATACTTTATGAATGCATCAGTTATTTGATCTAAAAATAAAATAATCTCTAAGGGCTTAATTTTCTTGAGCTAAGGTTTTTAAAAGTAATGGAGATTTTCAATTAGCAATAATCATGCCTCGGATAAACCTCATTGGCTACAATACTGCTACTGCGCAAAGCTAAAAGTAATGGAGATTTTGTAATTCAATCACACAACTGCTGCTACGGTTTAAATGTGCCCTCTCCCCAAAAAAATCATGTGATGAAATCTGATGAGCCACTGTAGTGTGGTGTTAAGAGGGTGGAGACTTATCTCATTATGGTGTTGAAAAGCAGGGCTTAAGGAGGTGATTAAAAGACTGAGGTCATGGGTTTTTAAAAGTAATGGAGATTTTCAATTAGCAATAATCATGCCTCGGATAAACCTCATTGGCTACAATACTGGTACTGCACAAAGCTAAAAGTAATGGAGATTTTGTAATTCAATCACACAACTGCTGCTACGGTTTAAATGTGCCCTCTCCCCAAAAAAATCATGTGATGAAATCTGATGAGCCACTGTAGTGTGGTGTTAAGAGGGTGGAGACTTATCTCATTATGGTGTTGAAAAGCAGGGCTTCAGGAGGTGATTAAAAGACTGAGGTCATTATTGTGGAGGCATTTATAAATGACTTTTGGTGAATTTTTTTAAAGAGAGGAAATGAGACAGACACATGTTCATAGATTAAGAATCTTATTCTTTATCTCTTTCCATGTGTTGCCTTCTGCTATGTTACTCACTAGCAGGAAGAGAGTCACCAAATAAGTCCTCTATATCTTGAACCTTCAAAACCATGAGCTAAATAAACCTCTAGTATTACAAGTCACCCACTTCCAAAAGGTGTTAAATTATTGAGCAATAGAAAATAGACTGAAGTAACAGTGATACCATGTGTTTCTCTCTAACACAGTGTTACATTATTTAATTTTCATTTCAGGATTACCCAGAATTTCAAAATTATGGAAACAGGCAAAAACATATATTTAGAACATTTATTAGAATACAAGAGTCATGAAGATAGAGATTTCTTTTTTATACATAATTATCCCTATCACATAAAAGATGTCCTGGCATAGTAGCCACTTAATAAATAATTGTTTAAAAACATGAGTAATTTGGGGCTAGCAGGTGGTGTAGTAAAGTGCTGGACTCCCACATGGCTGACGTGGTTTAAATCCTGGACCTGGCAGCTTGAAAGTCATGCTGGATGTTAGTATACGTGTGCCCAAAATCCCAAGAGGAGAATGAAGAAGGAGGGAGAGTGGTGTGATCATCCCCTTGAGAGGTGATTTCTCACTTTCTCTCTGTATGTCTCTCTCTGTCTCTCCATCAAGCACATGTGCCCTATAGCAAAAATCTCTCTAAAAATACATAAATAAAATTTTAAAAAGAGTGAATAATTAAGATTACTATCTAACTCAGCTGCATTTTAGTCTTTGCTAAAACTGCAGCTCAAAAGCTTATCATTCCATTAGTCAAAATGGTAGTGGAAACCACCATTTTTAATTGATGATCTATAATTTTCTTTAGCATTGACAAGATTGTCAATATTTTAAAAAAGTGCATCAAAGGGACCAGCAGATGATGTAATGGTTACATCACTGGGCTCCAACATAGTCCACTGAGGTTTGAGTCCCAGTCCCGGAGGCTTAAAACATGCTAAGTGCGTGTGTCTGCATGTCCAAGATACCAAGAGGAGACTGGAGAAGAAGGGATTGTGATGTGGCCATCTCCCATAGGGGGTGATTTCTCTCTTATCTCTCTCTGTCTCTGTCTGTCTGGTGAGCACACATACCCTATAGCAAAGATCTCTCTAAAAAAATAATCTTTGATAAAGAAGCTTGAAACATTCCATCTTTAACAATGGGAGGAAAATAATTGGAAAATAAATCATCTTTAACTTTAGGAAGGAACACAAAATAACCTTAAACAGCATTACTGCAGAAAAAAAAAAGGAATATGTCATGGCAGTTATGATACTGAAAACACACACACACTGTTTCTTATAATTTCTGGTAAACTCTGATTGTTGTTGCTCCTTTCTGACAAATGTATACTAAAAAGTGATCTAGCAGCTAAAAACATGAATATGTCTCTAATGTTCGAAAACGTCACATTTTAAGCAAATATCAATCAAATTAAAAGCAATCCATTCAAAGAATGATAATATTTTCTGTATAACAATAGTGAAATTTAAAATGTTCAGAAATGGTTGAATTAGCTTATTAAATTATAGGCACAATTTAATTGAGGTCACTTCTTCATAAATTACACGGACTATTTACATGACCAATGTGTATTCAAAGAATCAAACAGAGCATTATATTTGCTGCTCCAGGGTTTTGGATGTTATTTAAGTGAGAGAGCACAGTAAAATTTTGATAATTTTAAAGAAATATTTAGGTATCTGGTGGTTTAGATTGTATAGGTGACCCACAAATAAGTGTAAGGAGGCTATGAACAAATTAAAATAAAAGAAGAAAGAAAAGTCACATTGTACATATTTTCTTTTCTGGTTATTAAATCAAGGTCGGTTCAGGACAGTGTAGCTATCACTTACACAATAGTAAATAAAGATACCACATCCTAAGAAGAGATTTTAAAGG